GCAGCAGCAGCAGCTCAGTCTGAAGAGATAAAAAGATTAGAGACAGAAATAAAAAATAAAGAAAAGACAATAGAGGATTTGTCTGCAGCAGCTGATGCTGCTGCTGCTGCTCAAGGCTTGCTGCAGCAGCAACTCGACACACAGACAGCCCAACTGCAGCAGCAGCAGCAGCAGCAGCAGCAGCTGGAACAGCAAAAAGAGGAACTGCTGCAGCAGATGCAACAGAAACAGCTGCTGCTGCAGCAACTCGAACACCAGACCCAGCAGCTGCGGCAGCAGGTGGAGGAGCAGCAGCAGCAGCAGGAAGAGAGTCAGCAGCAGGAGCAGCAGCGGCAGTCGCAGCAGCAGCAGCAGCAGCAGCAGCAGAAAGAAGAGATGATGAGGCTGCAGCAGCAAGCAGCGCTTCAACAGCAGCAGCACGACCTTCAGTTAGAGGAGCTGCAGCAGCAGCTTGCTGCAGAGAAGAGACAATCTGCGGAGACACTCCAGCAGCTGCAGCAGGCGAAGCAGCAGCTGCAGCAGCAGCTGCAGCAGCAGCAGCAGCAGCAGCAGGAGAAAGAGGAGAGACAGAGACAGGAGACAGCTGTCAACTCTCTGCAGGCTGAGCTGCAGCAGGCGCGAGAAGACACAGCAGCAGCAAACAGCGCAGCAGCAGCAGCAGCAGCAGCAGCAGCANGCAGCAGCAGCAGCAGCAGCAGCAGCAGCAAGCAGCGAACGCGTGCAGCAGCTTGAGGCCCTGCTGCTGTCTCTTCAGGCGAGAGAAGCACAGGCTGGGGTGTATGCACAGCAGACAGTGGAGAGACACCGCAAGGAGACAGCAGAAAGAGAAGCAGCAAAGGAGGCGTTGCTGCAGCAGCTGCAGCAGCAGCAGCAGCTCGTACAGTCCCTCCAAGCAGAGGCAGAGGAGACAAGGCAGCAGCAGCAGCAGCAGCAGCAGCAGCAACAGCAACTTGTGGAGGAGCTGCAGCAGCAGGTGCAGCAGCTGCAGCAGCAGCAGCAGCAGATGCAGGAGACAATAGAGAAAACAGAAAGGAGACTGAGCCAACATAAAACAGCGAAAAAAGAAGAAGAGACAAAAAACAAAAACCTAGAAGTAAACCTACACTGTCTCCTTTCTGTCTCCTTTCTGTCTCCTTTCTGTCTCCTGTCTCTGTCTCTGTCTCTGTCTCCTCTCTCTGTCTCTCTCTGTTGTCTCTGTCTCCTTTCTGTCTCCTTTCTTTGTCCCTGTCTCTGTCTCTGTCTCCTTTCTCTGTCTCCTTTATCTGTCTCCTCTCTCTGTCTCCTCCTCTGTCTGTCTCCTCTCTCTGTCTCCTCTCTCTGTCCCTATCTCTATTTGCTGTTTCTGTCTCCTTTTTTCTGTGCTGCAGCTATCGTGTGTGTGTGTTGTCTCTGTCTCTCTGTGCCTCAGAAGAAGCTGCAGCAGCGGAAGCAGCAGCTGCAGACACTGCTGGAGCTGCAAGAGGCCACAGCAATGAAGAGGGTTAGTTATCTCTTCTCTCCCCTTTACTGCTGCTGCTGCTGCTGCTGCCGCTGCTGCTGCTGCTGCTGCTGCTGCTGCTGCTGCTGC